CTCTGTTATTATATAAATACACCTGGCATTTTAATAATAAGATAAGGTCATAATATTGTTATTCAATTAACCTCTAACTCATTCAGAGGAAATAGACTTCGAAGGAGAAGCCTAGCATTGTTTAAGATCTCATTTTTCTTATTTGGTAATCAAAAATCCTACTTTTTATATTTTGCTATTTAATTACTGCATAATCGCAAAAATAAGTACAGACTATCATGACAAAAGAAGGTTGCCAGTTTACTGTGAGTTCAATTATCCCGAATACATGAAAATGTTAAATATGATTTTGAAAACATAACCCAAATATTTAGCCTCCTTTTAAAGCTAGACATCATTTTCTAATATGCATTGGATTTTGTAGTTTTTAAAACATAAACAAAAAATCAACACATAAACAAAAAAATCAAGACAATGCATCTATAAAGCCACTTTAAATAAAAACCTTTAGTGATTCAGTATAATCCATGGTAGCAAACATACTGGGTGACAATAGGTCTAGTGATGAAGAGCATAGCTCTGGGATCAAAGTTTTTTTCTAATACTCTTCCATCCCTTACAGCTATGTGGCCTTGAGTATGTCGATTAACCTCTCTGAGCCTCAGTTTCCCCAAGTGTAAAATCAATATACTTCCTCAAAAAGTAGCAGCAGGCTAGCCAGTTAGCACATTTGGTTAGAGCGTGGTGCTGATCACACCAAGGTCAAGGGATCAGATCACCATACAAACCAGCTGCCAAAAAAAAAAGTAGCAAAAAGATTTTTTAAATAATACTGTACAGCACCTAAATGATATCTTTAGAAAGGCAAAATAAAGCTTAAAAGTTACAATCTTGAGTTCTCTAAAAATGATTAGCAGCAAATCTACTTAACAACTCTCAGATCTGTTTGCATAATGGAATCACTTGATCAGCATTTTTAAACTATCCATCCACGCCCTTGTTCCAGCCCAAGCCAATGAAAATCAGAATCAGAATGGGTAGGGGTAGGAGAGCATGGGTACTAGCTTTAAAGTTCACCATGTGATTCTCATGTTGAAATCTCAGCTAAATCATTCAAATTCTAAGTATTCAATAAATGTTTGCTAACAGTACTCTGTTCATACAATCAGTTAAACTTTAGAACCAATAACACATCCAAATAAAAGCTTTAAAAAGCAGCTGCTAAATCATTCCTTAATTTTTACTGTACTTTCAATTAACTCCACACTTCTCACACCTCTAAAGCTATAAAATATAGGAGGCTTTGTACTCTCATCCATTCCTGAAAATTTGTTTCTGAATCAAAACATTAAAATTTCTCAAAGCAAGGTCAACTAAGCTTTTGACATTCAAATTTCAAGAGTCAAAAAAAAAAAAGGCATATCTGCCTGAGCAAGAAAACAGCACAAGCGCTAGTAGCTTTAAAGATAAAGTACTCAGGTTGATGTCAGCAGGCAGCAATCATGTTGCTTTTGCTAAGCAATTAACGACACTTTATTAAATACTAAGAAAATTTGGGTGACTTCACTAATTGGATATCTATGGCAGAGATAAAAATCACTTTTGGCCACTACCTTCCCTTCCAGAACAGCACCTCGTCTTCCCAACCAGTGTCTCCAACAGTGTTGATCCTTTTTTTTTTTTTTAAAAAGGCACCAATCAACCAACCTAGTATTTCCACTTTGTAGGAAACAAATATAAAATATAAAAGTGATTTATTATAATTTTCATCTAGGTAACACTATGCAATTAAACCAGTCAACTTATATATATGTACATATGTATGAAGACATATACATACATTAGTAGATAGGAATACACATACATTATATACTAATATATATGTGAATAGTATATGAATGTACATATTATATATGCATACGTATAATGTTGCATGCAAATTTTAATCTCAGTCAAAGGAAAACCTAAACTGTTGTGGCTCAATGGCTTTTGAGGTCTAAATTCGTAGCCTCATTTCAAGTGCCAACAAACAAGCCCATAAAATACAGAACAAATACAAAGTGGATACTTTGGCACGATATTAAGAAAGGAATCTAATCTAGAATGGTTAAGTGATTAAAGCAGTACAGTGGAGGCCAAGATGAAAGACACTCAAGATGGTCACTGGATCAGACCCTGTGAGGGCAAGGACTTTGCCAACACATGACTCTAAGGCAGCCACAACTTCTGTGCACTTTTGCCTCGACTGAAAAGAAAATGCTGCCTACCCCAGATAATTCACAACACTGTATATGATGCTTAAAGTGAGTTAAATATGTGAGGGCACAGAAAAAATTTTCAACTACTTCTTGCAGTGTTACAATTATTATTTAGAATGTTCCAAATAAAAGGCAAGCTGAGAGGCCATAAAACAATTACTTTTCCTAAAACAATTAATCATGCAAATAAGGCAAGTGGGGAGGAAGAGACTAGCCACGTTTTACCTGAAATACTGAAATGTGTATTTTAAAAAAAAGAACTATACTGAGTTAATGATTAAACATAAGTGATTTGTTAAAATGTAATAGATTATTATATTGTACCACGGTCAAGAAAAGATAAAAGGCAATTACAATAATCAACTAGGCAACTAAAGCCCTGGGTTTTCCTTCTGGATTTTCCACTAATTTGCTCTGGGATTTCAAAGTAACTCAGTGGCTCTGGGCTTCAGATTCTCTTTTATAAAATACAGAGTTGAACTAAATTTCTTTAAAATGGCCTATTACAATGTAAAACTTGGAAAATTAAGAGTAATTCTTTCAAACAGTAATATCCAAGGATAAGGACTAAATTAGGCCTCATCATCTATTAGATTAATATCATGATATAATCAGCCAGGTTTTAGTAAGAAACTTACTTCTAAAAGCTAACAATTATAACATACTGATTAAGATTGCTCCCTGCCACCTCCCAAATACTCTTATCTAGCAAGACTTTTTCCAAAATTTAAACCTTTTTAATGTCCTGGGTTTTCAAGAAAGAACAAAAAAGCAATATCGAATACTGAATACTCAAATATCTAACGGGCACTTGGAATATGTCAAGGGATGAGATAGACAAGTGGAAGATGAAGTAGAAAAGTCACTTTTTGTTTGTATTTTTCAGGTAGTGATAACATCTCTGAATAGAAAAATATAAAGTAAAATGATAGAGTAGGGTTGTTATTTTAGGGAAGGTGCATTTTTCCAGGTGTCTATCCTTAAATTTGGACACGGGAGGGCAAAAGCCCATTAAAAATATTCTCTTCATATTGAGAAATTAGATAAAGCACTTTTGTACATTCTCTTAAAGCAAAGAAAGAACTTATCAGTTTAACCTTTAGATTCTCAAAAGCAAACTCTGAAGTATCTTACTACAGCTGTGCTTTTCACTAGAAAGCTCTTTGCATTCCTTCACCACAGAGCCATCTAACCTCACCTATTTTTCTTAAAGCTATCATTTGATTTTTGAACACCTGTAGGTGTATTTTGTATAACTAGGGTTTTTTTAAGTAGTACCTTTACCTAATCCATTTCTACTCCACGAATTTCATTCTATCTTATTTTGCAGTATCTGAATACATTTCAGCATTTGGAAAGCTGTCCCATCACCGTCAATTTACATAACTCTGCAGCTCCATTCAGAGACCTTGCTTTCATGCTCAATATCTTTCTACTAATTGTTTATTCATACATCCTAACGTGAGAATATATGTAAAGATAAATATGTAAACGGTGAAAAAACTGGGGAAAGAGGAACGGACAGTAGGGCTATTTGCAGGGGGAAGAGGATAACTAATTGGAGAAAGATGAAAGAATTAATTCATACGCTACATGTTTCCTCTACGTAAGCATTATACTAAATTTCTTTTAGATTAGTCATGTTGCTTTGAGACTTTTCCACGTTTCCTCTAGACAACTGCCAATGTTCGCCTGGCCTTTGATGAATAAACATGCTGTGACTTGCTTATAAGGAAACGCCTGTCATGTCTCAGGGAAAAATGACTTCTCCACTCTTAAGTCAGAAAAACTGTACAACTCTCATTCATTAGTTACAAAGTCGATTTTTCCTTAACGTTTCTATTTCTGGAGCGTTCATATTCTCCTTAGGGCATTTCTGCCTTCCGATTAAGAAAGAAAAGAAACTCTGAGTTGGAACAACACTTGCAGGAAAAAGTTATACTCCCTCATAGGGGTTTCCCACTTCAGAAGCTCAGCTAGCACCCATGTTAACTCCTGCACTATTTACCAAGACCAAGGTTATTTTCAGGTTCTCTACTTCTCTTGTAGAACTACCTGTTCTCATTACTATTTACCCAAATGCTTAGCAAGGTGATTATTAGCATATCTGGCAGAAAGACACGCTTCATTTAATATTAACTCACCATGTGACAGCCCCTTCCCCTCCAATCTCTCCTCAAACACGTGAGAATAAAAACAAGTACAGTTGTTTGCAGTCTGATTTTGCGCTTGGCTTTGGCACCAGCAATTGGTCACAGGCACACACACCCCCAATTAGAGGCGCACACCCCGCCCTCTCCCGGAACTGACAGGCGGGCTGACAGCTGGCACACCCTCCTGTCGCCCTCCACCCGCTTGCAGAAAGCCCCTTCCTTACAGTCGCCTTGACATTGCTCGCCTGCTTGGGCCTCAGCCCTGGGTCAAGGAAACTTTTTTTTCCTCCCTTCCTAGGAGCTCACTTACAGGTATCGTCCACAGCTCCTCCAGCGACTCAACAAGGAGCCCTTTGTTACAAATTTTGCTCTCGGACTCCTCACCCCACTCCTGGCATTCAGCTGGCCTTCCGCAACCAGGGCAGCCCCAGTAGGAATGCAGTCAAAAGCTACCCAAACCCACTCACTCCCCCTCATCCCCCGCCCCGGGCGGCCTCCGAGAAGGCCGGGAGGAAGCAGACTCCCCAGCCGCGTGTAGGGTGATCAGCGAGTGCGGCCACGGGCAGCGCCGCGAGCTGCCAGCCAGGTGAAGCGGGTAAGGAGGCCTCGCTGCCTTCGCCCTCCCGCGAGCGCGGCGCTCCGGGCTTACCCTGCTGGGGCGGCGGGCGGCGTGGGCGCCGCCGCGGCGTCCTGCGCGCTCGGGGCTCTGGAGTCCATCGCCTTGCGGGGCGCTGCGCGGGCTCCAGCTCCGAGGAGGCGCGTCACTGCTGGGGTGGGAGAGGCCGGCCAGTTAGGACGGGACGCGCGCCTTCCCGAGACCGGAGCGGGGCTGGCTGCGCGTCAAGAGCCCGCCCGAACCACCCCAGCCCCGGGCCGGCCCGCCTCCCGGGTGCGCTTCCACCTGCGGGTCCCGACTCCCAGCCCGCGGGCGCCGCCGCCGTCGCCGCTGGTTCTTGTGGGCTCCGGGAGCAGCCGCGGCAGGAGGCGGCGCTGCAGCCCCCGCCCCGTGGCGTTACTGGGTAGCCATTTGGCGCCTCTCGCTCGGGAAGAGAGAGGAGCTACTCGGGCTGGAAGAAGAGCAGGGCTGGGTGCATCGGTACCGCCGCCACGCCGGCAGCGCAGCCCGGGCTCCTCCGGCCGAGTTTGCACAAACAAAACGCCCCGGGAAAAGTTGGGAGAGCTGATCTCTCTTTTCCCACCCAGGGCTCCTACTGTCTTTTCAAAGGGAGACAGTGGCTCGCCTGTTCTCCCGCGGCTTCCTCTCCTACTCTTCCCTCCCCCGGCCCGCGCGCTCGCAGCTCCGCTCTCGAGCCAGGACTTGAACAGAGCAGAGAGCGGCAGCCTGTCCCAGGTTCAGCGCCGCCAACGCCTCCCCCTGGCCTCCGGGCGGGCTGCCGGGCGCTCGCGGGGAGCTGCGGGGCCTCTCCGCAAGCCCGCTCACTCACCCTGCCCCATGTCCCTGCTCAGAGCCCGGGAGCTCGCCTCCACCTCCGCCACACGGCCGCCCAGAAGTGGGGACGAGCTCGGCGGCATCGGAGCGAGCGAGGCAGCGAGCCGGAGAGAGGAACGGGGCGGGGGTGGTGCAGGAGCGAGTCGGAATTTCCCTCTCCCAGGGCTCCGGGTCTTTGGGGTCCCTGGTTGGAGAAGCCGAACAGAAAGGAAGCTCCCAGGCGGGGTGTTCCCATTCCCACCGCTAGGGCGTCGCTTCGGGAAGCCTGGCGCGCCCCAACCCGACAGGTGGGGAGGAAGAAAGGGTACCTGCCCTGCGAGCACCCGGGCCACCGCGGAAGTGCGGAGAGAAACTCGCAGAACGGGGCCTGCAGCCTGCCCTCCCTGCAGGCTGACCTTCGACGTCCGGGATTGATTGTTTTTTCGTGTGTTTTGTTTTAAACCTGACCTCTAAGGTTGCTCTTATGCTAAAAGCGCACCTGTGACACTGATCTTTCTAATCGGTGACAAGTTTAAGCTTGCTTGCTCTGTCTTCAAAGGTATATTTCTTTAAAAAAAAAAAAAATCACCTCTAACAGCTGTGACATGAGGACTGGGCAATATTTTGTCTGATGACAATCTATAAACTAGAATTGAAAGGCAGATTTTATTCGCCTGTGGAAGTTTTACAGGAATAAAGGAATCACACAGGCACAGCCGTTTGTTTGTACGTTTTAGTTCCCACCTGCATGCTCTTCAGAAGGTTCTTTACCCCTGACAAACAGATATATTTGCATATTTCCTATATGGTCTCCTAAGCGACACTTGTTTTAAGGTGCAAACCATTTGTGTGGATCCAAAAGCTTGCTTTCAGAAAATGACGTGAAATTAAGAAATTGACTTAAAATTACAATTTAAAAATAAAAATAGTTGTAATAAACTCAGGAAGGAGCATCCTGAAGGGAACCTCTGCTTTAGTACTAACATCAAGTAACAAATCTGTTAGATACCTCACCCTGATGACATTTGGTAGGTATTAAAATTAGATTGATATTTAAAACCAATGCTTGACTAAATAGTCCTTTAGTTGTTTATCCATTGTAGCAACCACAAAGATTAATGAAATTAAATAAAGTACTCGATATCTTGTAATGTGCCCTTTGTCTATTTATGGGCAGGCATTAGTATTTATTCTTTTCAGCACATAATTTAGTTCTTTCAGTGCATCTTTACATATGAAAAGAAAAAATATGGCTTGTTTGGATTACAATACTGGAACCATATCAGAGAAAGTTGCTATTAAATATTTTAACTAATGTTAATCAAAGCAATTCATTTAAATGCCTCTAGATTTTAGGCTTTAAACAATAACTCAGGTTAAACAATTTCATGAATCATTTATTCCTCTAAATGACTAGCTTTTACAGTTGCTTGCATAGACAATCATACAAATATTGAGTAACAGTGAAACTACTTAAAGTCCATAACTTTTAATCACAAGATCAAAATTAAAACTTTAATTACTTTCAGCCTTGATTTATGACATACTAGTAATATGATGAAGGCTAATCTTAAATATGCAACGTTTTCATAACATTTCATAACTGCTGAAGGCATTTTTAGTGCTCATCAATTTTTCTGTCTTCCTGGTCCTACACATAGGAGAGGCTTATACTCTCCACCCCACTAAAATTAGGTATAACCATGTGACTTACTTCGGGAAGTGAAATGTGAGCAGAAGTGAAATGTTTCATTTCTTTTTAGAATCAATTAAGGTCAGTGCTTGAGTCTATATGTCAGTATTGAGTCTCTGTGCTCTCTTCCCTTGCTGTTGCAATCATGGAAGTGTGTATTAAGATGGAGGTGGCACAAGACTGAAGGATCCTGGAATGCTAAACTATTATCCAGAGTTCAGCTGCCCTGGAGAGTCCCAGGACCTACAACAGGTTCTGCATAAGCAAGAAATAAACTTATGGTGGGTTAAACCACTGAAATATTGGAGTCGTTTGTTGTCCAGCATTACTTAGCCTACCTTAGTTGTCATACTTGACAACTTTCAGAATCAAGACTAAACTTGGTGCTGTCATATTGTACTCAACTATTCATGCTGTAGTCTGCTGGTTACATAGTTCATTAGCAAAATAGTAATCACAGTTGTTATAAATCTTTTACATCATGGCGGAAAACTGTCTTTTTCCAGTCTTTCCCTCTAGTTATGCAGAACTATTTCAGAATTGCCCAAGTTTCCAAGAGTTTGCTTAATTTCCCTGTTTGGAAATCTTCCCCACTCCATCCAATCATTTTTAATGCATATGCTCAGGCATTATCACCTCAGGAAGACTTTCCTAACTACACAGGTAGAAGTAACCCTTCCCTTTTTTGAGCCCCCAGTAGATTCTGTTAGGTGGGCCAAGGCCTCATGACACTTTGTTTTATTTATTATACAATAACTGAGGTAGAGAATTTGAGCTTAAGAGACCGTATATTTTCCTTGTTCTCCTGAAAGCATAGCCCAGAACACAGAAGGCCCTCTGCAAATATTTATGGAATTGATGATGGAATGAAGGAAACCTTAAGGACTTCATTCCTCAGGAGAATCTTATGAGAAACTTGAGTCAGGAAAGGACTTTTCAACTCAAATGGCAATGGTAGACCATTTTAAATGGAATAGATGGAAGGTGAGTTTGTCCTACTAGAGAGATAAGACATTCTCCACATGGTTACCTGATGGGATTAGTGCCACAATCACTGGGTAGAAAGAAGTTTCAGTTATATCTTTGAATAACAATCTAGGTTTCAGATTCCTGCTAGAGAGTAATAAAAGGGAAAAGATATTACATGCTTCATAAATGTGTATGTGATTATATGAAAAGAAGCAGACAAATACAGGTTAAGGTAGGCAATCCAAAAATTGTTAGAAAAATAGAATTGGGGTTTGTCTAAATATTTTGTAAACTATTTGGAACAATGAAAAAAATTATAATATTTATGTTAGGTATGTTTTTATCCAACTACAAGTGCCACAGAAAGTATTTAAATTGAAAAATCACATTTCAGAGGTGATTAGTATCTTTCTATGCATTTCACCTTTGCATATTACAGCCTAAAGAAGTGCTTACTTTGTCTTCTTAGATTGTGTGTGTGGGTGGTTTTATATAGCAAGAACAGAGATGTTGCATGATAGTGTTCAATTTTAATGAAAGTTTACTTCAGAATTTGCATTGCATAGAAGCTGCTTAATCTCAGGCAAGCATGTTTTTTATTAAGGTCTTTATGTATAAGAGTTAACTGATGATGACAGGGAGCTAAAAGGATTGTGTCTTTATTTTCAATTTTGGAATATATACATAATAATATGTTGTGGCTCTCAGTGAAGTTAAATGTAAAGGAAATGGGTCAAAAATCAGTGTAGGGTCTTCCACCTCTCTTTCAAAAGATAAACGTTTTTTAAATTCTAATTATCTAAAGAAGAAAGGCCTGACCTTAGCATGTTATGTCTTCTATAAATGGTACTGTATTTCTACATTATCATGTACAGTTGTAGGTAAAGACTCTATTAACATACACACATTCCAGGATAGAGGTGAGGTCTGGAGAAACGTGCATGGGCATGCGGACATGTAAAATATTTTGTAGAGTGGGCATGCAGGAGGGCAGAGTTTTCAGTGCCCATCCAAATTTCAAGTTCAGATTCTGATATGTCAATACCAAGTTATCTAAAATCCACTTTCTTATTCCCTCTTTTAGATGTCCTTTTGTCAAAATGAATTTTTGTTTCTGGATTCTAATATTCTGTTGCTATTTGGCAGTAATTTTCTTATTCATTGAACAGGAAGAAACCCTTTTAGTACATTAGAGTATCAATTCTGTTAAAAGTATTCTAGTGATTTAAGATGTAAACACCATTCAAATATGGATGTTTCTTCTTTTTTCTTAAAAATAAAAACAACAGGCTAAGGACAAAAAAAAATAAGCCAAAGTTTATCTATTTAATATGACACAATTAACTAAATCTTGGTATTTAGGATTTTGACATTGCCTATTAAATTCTACCTATGACTAGGAACTGCATTTCTTCCTTTATAAATCCTGAAGAGCTTCTTAATGTCTTAACTACTTGTCAGCTCCCATATATCTCAAGATGTACAACTTTGAGCCATGTGGCCACTGCTCTGCCTTTCCAGGCAAAAAACCTAACAAGTCTCAGCGTATTTCATTCTGGCAGGGCTTCCCACCCACTACTATGTCTTTTGTCCCAGGGAGGCAGAGCATGTGTGTGTGAGGTTAAT